AAACATGATGATGATGGTTATAATTATTAAATTTAATTCAGATTCGACACTTTTCTGGAGCAACAGGCCTGCGTAGAATCATATTTTTTTCCAAAAAGTTTCTCCTACTTAGTTTCTGGTGTCATGAAACTTAAAATAAGGACACGTGTAATTATAACGACAATACACATTAACCGAGACGAATGACATATAACGTGACGAAAATACGTCACCAGTTGGTTGTCTGTCCTGTAGCTCTCATCACGAAGACGCGTGGATGGTTGGCTTCAGGTTTCGCTCCACGCGCGTTCTTGATTTGGGCTCCCTGACCCGCCTTGTGTCTCATGTCCGTTCTTGTGTCCCTTTTGCAGGAAACAACAACAATTCGGAAGGGCGACAGATCGACCTCAAGTCTTGGCAGTGGTTCGGAGCGACCGTGCAGAGTTCTGGTGAGGACGGCGTCATTGTGGTGAGTACATTACGGGCGTTCGAACGTCCGAACCGTTCGTTTCTTGAAATATGGACGGGAGGCACTCGTTAACGCGAACATAGACATGTGGCTGAGTATCTCCGAAACGTCGGAAATACAGACTGATTTTACTTGGTGTTATCAGTATCAGCTTCTAGCCGCTGTGAAATCCTGACCATTGGGTTCAGCTCTTCGGTTGTTCCGTGTGTTTTTAAAATCTCGATTGAAGGATTGGACCTCGTAGGTTGCAAATGAAACTGCTCTGATAACATTCGTGGTTCTTGGGGTCGGTTGTGTTGATACGAGGAGCATCAGCTGGCTCGGGACTCAAGTTTGTTCGCGTGTGCGCTGGGCTAGCGAGTCTTACCTAAAATAGCTGGAGGACTTGCTCTGGCAAGCGGCGTTTAGCGGGTGGACTGACGGACAGGCGAACTAACGTGTAATTTGAGACGAAATCAGCTTCTGTTGTACCAGGATCGCAGGATTTTGACGACCATGTACCAAGTGCAGAGGGTAATCAGCGCGGAGTGAGGGTAAAACAAAAATTAATGTGATCGTGTACGATGAATGGAAAATTAGTTCTTGGATCTTATTCTAAACACTGTTCTGTTCAGTAAACCTGTTTATAATTAAATTTGGGTTGATGCAACCATGTCTTCGTCAGGAAATTTTCTGATAATTACAGCGGAAAGTAACGTTAGTATTGCTTCTAATAAGAGGTAACTGTTTAATACGGAAACGATAAGAAACGAAAATAAATGCAACATTTGAGCCAAAATTATGGTCTTCCTCAGTCTTATTTACTGTGTCTCGTAATTTCATTCCAAATTGAGCTTAATGGCGTTTGAATGTACCGCAAAATATAAAGAACGGACAAAATATTTCAGTGCACTACTGAAGAACGAAAAACACAGTGTGTTTACTGTGTATTGAACCTTAAAAGTACAATGGTAACTATAATTACCACCTGCTTTAACAATCAGAAATTTTTAGAGTGTATTTGTCAGTTTCGTATGATTGTCGCTTGTAAACAGCGATTATTTCCTTAAACAGCGTTAACCAGTTGATCTTTGTAATGGTGAATTGTCGTGTTTACTTCGCGGTACGGACTGAATTCTTTAAAAAGTATTTAGATGAACTTCGTGCCTCAGATGGCGGTATCTTGTACATTGAGCAGAGAAATTATGAGCTTCGCTGTCAGTGATTACTGTCGTGTGTAACGTGAGGTCCACATTCTTCAGCGAGGCAGTTATATACCGTATTCAACGCTGCTAAAGTGGTATTTATAACCTTTATAATTCAAACATTTCAAAAGTATTTACTGTACAGTGCTCACAAATACCGCCCTCATAGCTTCAGGCGGTTTGTGATAGAAACTGAACAATTAAGGCATGTTTGGCTTCATCAGATAACGCACCCCGGCGAAGATGCTTGTCTTGTTCAAGGATATTCTTGAAATGTGTGCGTTTCAAATAACGAATATTGGGGTTTTTTTTCGCAACAAGCTAAGAAACTGTCGTTGAATTCTTCACTTCAAATGAAATGCCGCTTATAGATGTCGCTGACCAAAAAGAATCACACGCAGAGGAATGGAAGAAGCCATAAAATATTCTCACTGTGACATCTCACATTACACGTTTTTTGTGTTAAGTGTTGGAAGTGATGTTTTGGAACTGCCCACTCACAATTGAAATAATAGATATCCGTCGGGCCACTGAAAGGCACCACTTAAAAGAGGAACAGTGGAATGTATACCGAGAAGACACTTTGTTTGTCTTCGTAATATTCCATAATCGGGAATGCGCGGCTACAGTGGGCACAAGATGGCGAAAGCATTGTTCAGAACTGAGAGGGATAGAAAATTAAAGTGGCTCGTCAGTCAGTAAGTAAAAAGAATAGAATAAAACAGTGGCCAGCTTAACATTGGTCATGTACGTGACCCCGAGACTGAACTTGACCTCTCAAACCCCTATAAAAATAACGAGTAGTGTTATTGCCTCAAACAACTGAGCGATTCTATTGTTTTCCGAGATCACTTTTTAAGCCGTCTCATCTTCTCTAATCTTCTGTTTTAAATGCGTTTGTCGACATTTTTAGTGCGTTTGCCGTCCGCATTCTTCGTGTAGTTAGAATAACCGCGTTCTCAGAACTTGAGGCTGTAATGCGAAACTTTCATGAAGATAAAGTTTAAGAAAGAAAGAAAAACAAAATGAGAATCGCCGAAACGAAATTCCACCCGAAAGGTCAAGGTTCAGCGATCTTGAGATTGTCACGTGTTATCTCATCACGTCGTAAAATTATCCATTGAGATTTCGCCAATGCAGAAATCAGCGTCGTTTCTGTGTAAACATTCGATAAGTTCGTCTCACAGAGAAACGAAGGAGGCGTCGCGTTTGAGGTTTAAATTCCGGGGTTCCGAAGGACTGGGCCTCGTCGCCTTCGGTGTCTTTCTTAAACTAATGGATGTATTTGTAACAGCGTACTTCGGGCTGTTATCTTCCCTGAAAAGAAATAGTTTCTCCGACGCTTAGTCATAACTGAGAGAATATTATTATAAATAAAGTGTGGGGACATGGATTGGATTCAGTTGGCTACCGGTGGCGGGCTTTTGCGAAGAATGCATTTCGTAGCTCCAGACGAGAATCCATCTTGTTCAATGATCACAAAACGACAAATTCCAGGGAGCAAAGGCCTATTTGAGAAGCTGATTGTCACTCATCTGGTCACCGAATTCCCTTCCGCTTAAGGAAGTTTTTTTTTGCCGTGTTCAAAAGATCCTGCAATTTTTAAAATGGATGATTTTAGCTCCATGTTGCAATGTTTAAGTATCACATGTCTGTGAAATGTTTACTGTCCGTCACGTTTTTAGTGACCAAATAAAACGTTAATATTTTTTAAAAATAGGCAGTAAATTATGATTTTTAGTAACCCACGTCCACACCTTTGTGCTAAAACGACCTCGTGCTGGTCTTTCGGGCGGTCTTATACAAGAGGTTCTCTCACCAAAAGTCGTATTGTGTAACATCTTCGGTTTTACTGTCCTTGAAATTGGCCACGGCCTCCACGCCCTTACCATTTCATCATTTACAAATCGTCTCGATGAAACGGCGTCACTTTATCAAACACACGTCTGTCTTCTGATATCAGTACTTACCTACTTCATCACTTTTGGGGCAAAATTGTTCTTATAACCTTGTATTACGATGATTGACATTTATTAACTTTGCTCAGAATTGAATACGAAGGTAATACGAAATTTCGCGAGTGTGCTGTGCTATGACGAGCCTGATCCTTGGAGTAGTGGATCAGGAATCCAGTTTTTACCGTCAGCTGACTGTACATTACGATGGACGACACGTGGTCTAGTTGACAAGACAATGGAAACATTATGGATCCCGGTCAAAATATCCACCACGTCGCTACCTCAGAACTCACCGACCGTCACAAGATGAAATTCCCATCTCCTGGACCACATACGTGGGGCTACTCAACTTCCTCCTGCCTCTCGGCCATCGTTTCGTCCTGCTTCGTACTCGGGGAATCCCCGATTCATTTATAGACTGGGAATAAAATATACCGAATTACGGTTTTCGTGATTTTCCTCGGTGGTTCCGCACAAATTACATTCTCTGAAATAATCCGCGAACTTTTTTTGACGCCCTCACGATTTCATCTGTCACAATCTGCCACCCAATGGGGCAATTGGGAAGGAAGCGAGCGACCTTGGTGTATTGGAAAGAACTCCTCTGTGCAGGCTGCACGTCCTGAAGAAAGGCACGAAAAGCGGAAAGATAGCTGGTGTCCGGGCCGAGATGTGAATCGGGGACACTTCTGATACAGCACGAATCTAAAACGACGCTGATTACCAGAAGGAAATACCACAAAAAGCTGTGAAACAACAAGATTCTAAAGTATGTCGCTGTTGGTCTTCTGGTGGGCTTGTAGGTTAGGTTTGGTTTGGTTGGGTTGGATAAGGTTAGGTTAGGTTGGGTTAGGTTTGGTTGGGTTGGATAAGGTTAGGTTAGGTTACTCGGTAGAAAAGCTTTGACCTTGAAAATGCGGACTGACGCTGAAGTCCGACGGCAGTAAATCTGCGGGTAGAAATTTTTCATTTTAAACGTGTCTGTTAAAGCATTGCATTATGCAGAGCTGTATCTGTCCCCCCCCCCCCCCCC